AAATTTTTATATAGTGCTAATAAAATGTCTGTTAAAACTTGGCTTTGATTTTGTTTGAGAAAACTGTATATAATAATCAGCCTTCGTTTACCTACTGTGCTTTCAGCATCACTTCATTGTTTCCAAAGTTAACTGAAAATCTGGCCATCCCCCAGAACACACACAAAAGTGGTGATGCAGTGTACATCTTTGAACAAAAGACTTTTCCTGTTTCATAAGTTGTTTTCGTACCATATATTTTCAGCAATTAGATTACAGAGATAAAATGGAAGGGTGATAAGAGAGGAAATTAACCTGTGTTCTATGGCTATGGGCAAAACCCTTGTTAGGAAGCAATTTAAAGCATCTCACTTGGTCATTTGGATATCCCTGAGAGGTAGGAAGGTGTTGTCCTAATTTTCCAAAAGGAAAGGCAAGCAACTTGCCCAGGTGTACACCATGTGTCAGAGCTGCATTCAAACCCACTGCTCTGGCACAAAGCTCACGCACTTACTTTCCCATCATACTCTGGGCTTCATCATATCTTCCCCACAGCCCATGCGTCGGGCAATGTCTTTATAGATATGCAATGTAAGATGTATATAATGAAAATTTATACATAAACTTAGATTTTCTACGTTTCAGCTTATGCCCTTAAAATAGATTTCTGAGGGTGAAATTGCTGGTAAATGGGGTGGTTCTACCCCTCCCCCTCAACTTTTGACATGTGTTGCTCATGTGGTAGAATACCTCTGTTCCTCTAAGTGAGCCTTTGTTTCCTTAAGGAGAACCACCGGCACATTGAGCGTCAAGTCTGCAAACTTGTTCTCAAGGTTTTTCCCCTCTTAGAAGAGAGGCTGCTCTCTTAGGAGCCTGCGTGCTCCTGAAGGGCTGGGGATATTGCCTCTGTACTGCTCCATCTCCCTCAATAGCATCTAGCTAGAGCAGCGGTTCTCAACCTGTGAGTCGCGGCCCTTTCACAGGGGTCGCCCGATTCATAACAGTAGCAAAATCACAGTTATGAAGTGGCAACAAAAATCATTTTATGGTTGGGGGGGTCACCACCACATGAGGAACTATATTAAAGCATTGCGGCATTGGGAAAGTCAAGAACCACTGAGCTAGAGCAAGGCTGGGCACACAAGTACTGACTATTCAGTGCTCCACTGGCTTGTCTATGTTACACCATGATATGTTAATCTCTAATAATCTGATTATATTCAGAGGCAACAAAATTTTTTTAATCTAGTCGGTTTACTGCAAAAAAAAAGCATTTGATTGTGAAATTGCAGTGGTTTTTCAGATTTGTTTGTGGTTTTTTAATCATTAACCAACTCGGATATGGATTGTCTCTTGCATGCTTTTCAAATTATATTAACACATAACAATACACTTTTAATAGTTTTGGGTAGATATTTCAGATTATGTATTCTTCACCACAAATCAATTTCTAGTTTTGCAATAGCTTTGAGTTTATTTTTTGAGGCAGTTTTCAAACAACTTGTATGCTTTTGATTTCTGTAAAAACAGGGACAACACCAGACGATTCTTTGCATCTTACATTGCATAGTGAATCTGCAGACGATTCCTGTGGATGTGGAGGAAGCTTTCCTAACCCATGCCATTCAAGCTTTCACTAAAGTGAGTAACATTCTCCCTTTCCCTTTCCAGTTATCGAGGCCATCGTCTCCTCCGACATAAACCTGTTATTATGGTGGGACAGTGTTTAAGCACTCCACTGCTAACTGGAATGTTGGAAGTTAGAACCTACCCAGCACCTCCGGAACAGAAAGATTGCTGCATAAAACTTTTTTTTTTTAAGTATGGGGTGTTTCTATTCTGCCATTGACAGTAGCTCTTAGTTGAAATTGACAACAGCATGTTTTCATAATAGCAATGTGTTTGACACTTCTTGAAAATACGAGGCTAAGTCAAAAGATAGTACTACTAGGGTTCCAGTTCATACATGCACTTTATAACAAATAAAATGTTTTTTAAAGTTTCTCTGTAAGCAGTAGATGACTACAGACAAGTTCTTTCAGTAATATATTTGTCTAGTTTCATTAGGGTACCTTCAAAAAAAGGGTAAACTTTTTGTGTCATGGGGGAGGGGTGGATTTTGAAGTCAGAGATAATACCAAAGTTTTAACAAAATATAAGAGGACATATTCCCAAATCACTGAAGCATGGCAAGAAATTTACAGGGATGCTTCCCAACATAAAACAATAGTTTTCAGATGGATCGAGCCTTTTAACAAAGGTTGGGAAGATCTCAGAGATGAGCGAAGATTCTAAAACTGATTCTGGTAAAGATAGTACAACTCTTCTTGATAGGATTGAACGATTAAATTGCATGATAAGTGGATGAAGTGCCAATAAAACTGTTTTGAAAAAAAGATGAGTGAAGAACGGAAAGTCGTCAACATTGAAAAATGAAGAACTGTGATAAAATCCAGAAACTGGTGTGAGAAGACCAAACTGGTGGGGAATTACCAGGAGTGTGATAGCTATTGAAGTTGGGATCTCTAATGGTACATCCCCAATTCTAAGCAAACATCTTGGTTTTAGCAAACTTTCACCTCCATGTGTGACAAAAGCATTGCACAAAGATTAACTAGCTCAAAGAGCTCATATTTCCATCCATCTTTTAAGCAAGACTGAAGCAAATGAAGACAATTTTAGGAAAGAAATTGTAATTGGGATGAGTCTTAGATTTACCAATACAACCCAAAAAGCAAGTTCCAATCAAAATTGGCCTTTGACATCAAAGACCCAGAACAAAAATCTTACCAATGTAAATAGGGGCGGGGTGTGGTGGGGTGTGGAGTAGAGACCCAAAGCCCATCTGTAGACAGTTGGACATCCCTCAAAAAAGGGGCACAAGGGAGAGATGATCCAGTCAGGGTGCTGTATTGCACCGATGAAACATAAAACTTTCCTCTAATTCTTTAATGCTTCTTCCTCCCCACTTTCATGACCTCAATTCTACCTTACAAATCTGACTAGACCAGAAAATGTGCACTGTTACAGATAAGAGCCTGCAACACAGGGAATCCAGGACACATAAACCCCTCAGGGCCAATAATGAGAGTAGTGATACCAGGAGGATAAGGGGAAGGTGGGGGGAGAAAGAGGGAATCAATCACAAGGATCAATATATAACCCCCTCTCAGGGGGATGAACAACAGAAAAGTGGGTAAAGGAAGACAGCATTGTTGTCTTGTAAGATATGAAAATAATAATTTATAATTTATCAAGGGTTCATGAGGGAGGGGAGGGGTGGGGAGGGAGGAGGAAAATGAGGAGCTGAAACCAAAGGCTCAAGTGGAAAGAAAATGTTTTGAAAATGATGATGGCAACAAATGTGGTTCACAATGTATGTATGTATGTATGTATGTATTGTGATAAGAGCTGTATGAGCCCCCAAGAAAATGATGATGGCAACATATGTACAAATATGCTTGACACAATGGATGCATGTATGGATTGTGATAAGAGCTGTATGAGCCCCCCATAAAAATTTTAATTTTAAAAATATATATCATATACAAGTAAAATCTTGCTGAAGATCATCCAACAGCAGCTGTGGAAGTACATTGACAGAGCTGCCAGAACAGGCCAGATTAAGAAAAGGACAGAGAACGGGCCGATCATGGCTGATATAAGATGAATCTGGGTTCAGAACAGAGAATTCCAGAAGCACACTTACCTGTGTTTTATTGACTGTACAAAGGCATTCATCCGTGTGGGTAATAACAAATTATGAATAGCCTTGAGAAGAATGGGATTTCCAGAACACTTCATTGTGTTCATGTCAAACTTGTACATGAATCAAGAGGCGGTTGTGTGCACAGAAAAAGGTACATTGCATTGTTCAAAATCAGAAAACGTGTGTGTCAAGGTTGTATCCTCTCATCATATAAATCTTATAATCTAGTTTTATACCTCTTTTATTGTTCTTATTTAAGTATTATCTATATGAAATAATAAACTACCTTTTTTATTTTTTTTAAATCACCTTTGCGGGGATCCGCTATGCCAGTTAATGTCAAGGTAGAAAGATTAGTTTGGAAGTTTTTAGGGACTGTATTTTGGCATCCCAAAGAGGGTCATCTTGACATTTTCACAAAGAATGCAGGACCATCACAGGGCTTATTAGGAAGATACATTTGCTCACTCACTGACATCACGTCAATGCCGACCCACGGTGATCTTCTAGGACAAGGTAGAGATGCACCTTTGAGTTTCTGGGACTGTAACTCTTTACAGGAATAGAAAGCCTCGTCTTTCTCCCTCAAAATAGATGGTGGTTTCTAACTGCTGACCTTACGGTTAGCAGCCAAGTGCCTAGCCATTACACCACCAGGGCTTCTTTGGCGGACATAAGAAAATTAAAATTGCATTGGTGAGGAAAATCCACAGACTGTCACCCCAAATAATTGTTGGCCCATTAACATAATGCTCCTACCGGCTCATTTTTGAGGTCTGCAAAGATGGTACTACAAGAATGCTTTGTGAAATCTTTCTTCATTAGGCTTGCCTCCTTAGACTTCTTTTTGTTCCCAAGGCTCAAATAACATGTGAAGGGAACACGATAAATCAAAGAACACAAAATTCTTTGGGGAAAGATTCAAAAGAAGTATATAGACTTAGATGGAGGAGATGGCAAGAAACAGTGGCTTCACATTTGATATTTTTGATAAAGGTTTCTTTTGTTTTACAATACTTTTGGACTTGCCCTCATACTGTTTTGCAGCAGTGATATTAGGAAAAACTGAAGTGGAGATTTTTTAAAGGAGAACATTGGAACAAAGAGCTTTTGCCTAGAAGAGGAAGGATTTGAGTGTTGGAAAATATTTTTAAATTGTGTGCCTTTTGAAATCAAACAATATTTTTCTTGTTAAGCCAGTTCTACCCTTGAATTTATACAATAAACAAACTATGGAGAATTTAACATTTAGCACTTGATTCTATGTCCTGCTTAGCAAATCTTTTTTTTAAATCATTTTATTAGGGGCTTATACATCTCTCTTTTTTTAAATCATTTTATTAGGGGCTCATACAACTCTTATCACAATCCACACATACATCAATTGTGTAAAGCACATTTGTACATTCATTGCCCTCATCATTCTCAAAACATTTCCTCTCCACTT